GGAAGTTGAAGACGATGGAATAATTGTATTTATGTGCAACATAAAGTAATTTATACTATCTCTGTTATTCTACTGATATTAGAGAATTTTTCCGGAATTTTCAGTGCCGCAATTAATTCTTGCTACTATATATTTGTAACTTGATCTTGTTTATCTCCAGACCATGCATTCTGATGGAAACAAATTTTTGACCCACCCCCTCCCCTGCAACCACTCAATATATACTCAATTGTATTTGATTCAATAATTTACATGTATTGATATTTAAGTAATGGTATATTACTTGTTCTCAGATTTGCTATGTTAAAGGTGCTTGGACACAGGTTTTAAGTTAATATTTTCTCAAATTTTCTGTATAATTTCATGACTTATATGTTGCTAAAGCATTTCATACTAAAATATAATAAAAATCTTATTTCATCTCGAAGTTATTAAAACTTCGAATTTCTGGACGCGGTGGATTGACACATCCTTGCGCTTTCATATATTTTGATTTTATTCTTTAAACTTAAGAAAAGTGGCAATTTTGTTTTGTATTAATAAAAAATATTACATGTAAAACTATAACCCAGAAAATTCAGAGTAGAAATGTTTGAAAGCAAAACCCACTCACAGTATTGTAAGTCCTTGCTTAGTGGTGTGTGCAGAGTTTAACAATTGAACACACCCGGTGAATCGTAAACATTAACAATAACAGAGCACGTGAATTTTCTGGATTATAGATTTCTTTTTTTTATTTTTTATCAATACATAACAAAATTGCTTCTTTTCTTAAATATTAAGGATAAAGTTAAAATTTGTGTAAGTGCAAAGATGTGTTTATTAAACGCGTCCCGGAATTCGTAGTTCCAATAATTTCCAGATAAAGTAAGTTTTTAATTATATTTTCATGTGAAATGCTATTGCAATAAATAAGCCGGGATATTATACAGAAAATTTGAGAAAATATTAAGTTCAGATCTGTGTCTAAACACCTTTAACGATGTTATAATATATCGTACTTATTTTGTCGTGTGTTTTATATGTTTTTAAGATTGGCGTGTTTGGCATGTGTAACTTTTGTCCATTTTTGGTTAATTTGTTGGGAATTTTAATAATTGCCCATGTGTTTTGGCGTGTTTGTTCTCCCATCTTTTTTGCCAATTCTTCTAGTCATAATTGTATTTTTTCGTTATGTATATTAATATCCTTATAAGGGATATATTCAAATATGGGTATGCGTAATTTTTGTACATATTTGGTTAATGTGTTTGTCATTCTAATAAATGCCCATTTACGACAAATAGTTTGTTATTTTATTTGCAAAAAACAGAGCAGAGTAGACTCATGGATGGAGAAAATAAACTATATTGAGAGAAGTTGAAGACGATGGTATAACGTTTATATAATTAAGCTATTAATCGATATCTATTTTTCTCTCTTTTATTAATTCTATTGTGAAACTATCTCTTTGAAACATTTGTATTCATTGTCATGTAAGAATATTAATATTTGGCAGTTGGAGAGTGACAGTCAAGGCGCTCGTACCACCAACTCCCAACCTTACTGATTTTGTTATAAGTTTTTGGAGTTTCAATAAATTTGTGAAACGGAAACCGACTTAAGCAATTTGTCTCGGTCAAAATTAATTGGTGGAGGGACTGTCACTGTGTGGAATGAACAGGTTCTTGAGTGACAATAATTTTCTGTGATAGTGCTAAATACAAACTAATAGACCTTGACCGCAAGACATTTGATGCCACCTGTACTTGAGTTAAAATGTTAAAGCAATATAAGCTGTCAGCGGCGGCAATTTTTTAACCCAATTTTATGAGGCTAATTAACAATAATGTGTTAGAAATAGATAATCTGCAAGTATCAGTAAACTACAGCTGTTGCGTATACACAAATACATTAATTAAATCGATCGTTTGTTTGAACTGACCGTCTCTCCAGCCACCGGTAATTAATATTCGGGACGGGATACGGAGATAACCGAGTATTAAGCAGCGCGTGCAAGATGCTGAATCCATTATCAAATCGAAGATGGAAGAATCAGAGGTACGTGATAAATTTACTCTTTAACATTTTTAAAGTGTTGTTTCTTTCACAGTATTGCATAAAAACTTAAATAAGCCTCACCGAAAGCATAACAGGCTAAACAGAAAATAGAGTGACGTTTGCATAAATGAAGAGGCCCCCAACGGGATTTCTATCTCCAGATCAGTAGAATGTGTAAGATGCTGCAAGTGCAAGTCGCGTTTTACGCTCCTATTTGCCTAGTTATTGCACTCTCAAGTAATTTGAACTTCTTTTTTAGTGTCTGCATAGAAAAAAAAGTAATAAAAATTTTAACCATTAGGCCTATAAAAAATTGTGCATAGATCAAGTTTATGTAAGTTTGCTGAGAATATTATTTCTCTGTCAACACGTGTATGTAGTATAATCATGGCAATAAGTGAGTCATAACTGCATTTTCAGTCTATATATTTCATGGAAAAACTTTTTTTTTTAATAAAAAAAATGTTATGAGGTCCAATTTCCATTATTTTTTTTCTGAATAATACAGAATAGTTCAAATTTTCTTGTCTCAAAATGCAAAACAAAATGATACACTAATCACTGAGAGTGAGAATAATTCATGAATTTTTCAAGACAAAAATTTCTTACCTCAAATTATGATTTCTTGTAAATTAGAGTCTTGGAATTTTACTTTCACATTTGACATGTTATATCAATGCAATTCTTACACTACAGATAAAATTATTTTGAAATTATGTGAAGAATCTGCAAACAAATTCTACATTTATGTGTTTTAGTTATAAAAATAAGCAACAAAAGACACTGCAATAATATTTTAGAAAAATGGATTTTCAATGAAATATATAGTGGAAAAAAATATGGCTCACATATGGTCAGGTACTGTGGGTTTTACTTGAATGTAAAAAATAAAAATAATTTTTGAAATCATATTTGATTATATTTGTACTAATTTTATAGTTATCAAATGGATCAAGATCAAGGAGTGTTTCACCAAATTCACCAAGTTCATCAGATGAAGAGATATCCAATGTCAGACGAAGAGGGCGTGGTAGAGGCAGACAGCCTAGAGCTACTGGGGTAGGAGCAAATTATTTAAACTCTTTACCCCCTCTCCCAAAAAAATGTGACAGTTTAAAGCTACTGAGGTAGTAGTGCAGTTCTACTCCTCCCCTACCCCCCCCCCCCCCCCCAAATAAAACATAAAAAACAAATGAAGTGTTGTTTATGATTTTAGGTCTTGAGAGGTCGAGGACGTGGAATGTGCAGAGGACGACAGCGCGTGCAGCCAGCTGGCTTGAATAGACTGGAAATGGCAGCTCAGGCTCGACGGGACAGACAATCTCAGCTTGAAGTATATACACATATATATTAATATTTATATATTATAAAATGTCTATATCAATGTCTATATCAATTGAAATATATAAAGTTCTTATTTCAGCCAGCTTATAAATATCAATAAAATTCTTTTAAAACAAGCACTTCAATTTCAGGAATGTATTTCCAATATGGACTTGGCTGCACTACAGGAAACTCTCAAGTTAGTCTGCAAGAAACAGCCTTCATTATTGATGGATGTCCTGAAGACTGCAAATGATAATGGGGATCCAACACCAGGGAATAGCCCTGCGGTTCCAGACTGGTGCTCTTGCAATAACTGTAGGGAGATGCCTACCGAGAGGGAAAAACTGTGCTGTGGAAAAGTACCCCAGAACTGTCACACAAAATTAGCTGTAAGTTTTCATTTTTTCAAATTCTGATCAAAATATTATTATACACCAACTAGATATGAAAAAAGGTGAAGATAAACAGTCAGTGTAATGTCTATTATGTATAGGATTTCTATACCATAGTGCTAGATGAATTGGTTCTCGAAGTTGCCATGAGATTTAGGAATGATGCTTTGGCAGAACCTAGAGATGACAACTACAACAGAGCTCATCGACATACAGCTTACAGACAATATGTTATGTGGATGCATGGCCGTCTTGGAGCTGGAAACCGAAAGGTCATTCCCAGCTGCTGCATATGGAAAATTCGAGACCAATATCCTGAACCTTCTGGTCAATATGTGGGATACATAGAAGGAGTCTTAGATTGATAAAGACAACATTTGATTTTCACATATTGCTGTTTTTATATAATAATAAGGTTAATTAAACATTGAATAAATCTTTGAAATACTATGTATCATTTTTCATTCATCAATGTGAAAAGAAAAGAACAAAAAAAGCAAAACATGCAATGTCATATTTAAAAGACTGTATCAAACACCTATTGATGAGTTACTTGGGTGTCAGAGATAAAGGTATTATTTACAAAATTCTGCAATAACATAAATGTTCAAAGTATCCAAGCAATTCAGAAAATTGCATATCATAAATCTAAAAAGTTTTTTGATTGCAACATTATCCTTGTTATAAGTAGCTTGCATAACTCCAAAGGAGTGGGGGGTATACTGTTTTACCCTTGTGTGTATGTCTGTGTGTTCCGTGTCTCTCCAAAACAATTTTTTTTGCAGTTTTCTCAGTAACTCCTCATCACAGATGCTTGAAATTTTAGCACAATCTTTGTTTAGGCATGCCATATGGTGGGATTCATTTTTATTTGAATCTGATGTCAACTTCCTGTTTATCCGTGCGTCTGTCACTAACAAATTTTTCGTCACAGTTTTCTCAGCAACTACTCATCACAGATGCTTGAAATTTTAGCACAATCTTTGTTTAGGCAAGCCATATGGTAGATTCATTTTTGTTTGAATCCGATGTCAACTTCCTGTTTATCCATGCGTCTGTATGTACCAAATTTCCGTCGCAGTTTTCTCAGCAACTACTCTGCGCAGATGCTTGAAATTTTAGCACAATCTTTGTTTAGGCATGCCATATGGTAGGATTCATTTTTGCATGAATTAGATGTCAACATGAGAGTGTATATTCACATCAGAGTGGGAGTATTACTAGTGAGCATTCGCTCACCGACTTCTTGTTGTTACAGGTAAATGTTCAAAATTGCAATATTAAACAAGATCAGAGACGTGTCTCTTTTCTTGATTCTGACTAATTAAATGCTCTCATGGAGAAATCGAGATTTCTTCTCTGCCACCAGAGATTCAGTTGGCGGTGGAGCAACAGGAGCTAGGGTCTCGGACACACGTCGTGGATCCTCCACATCAAGGACAACTGGCTTGTTCATACCAACAGGGTCAAAAATCCTATTCTGAAGACACAGTTTCATGATGTCAGTTGCATATGGATATTGTTTTTCTTCTCTTACTGGGTAGGCAGACCATCTTCCACTTTTTTTGCTGTAGTACCGCTGATGCCTAAAGTACAAGATTCAATATATTTCAAAATGCATTCCAACCTAGTCAGCAAAATAATTTACAATGGTATATTGTAGATTTTAACTTAAAAAATAAATGAATGAGAGAAAAAGAAACCTTAGTGATCCATCTTTTCTTTTGGCAGCTTCTCTGTCACAATTTGCATTGTGGTCCAGTGCAGCAACAAGGTTTCTCGCTCTGTACACTGGAGGTGTGTAAGAATGGCGCTTTGATGAGTACTTCAAAATAAGGTTTTGAAAGTTCTCCAAAGCGGCTGTACTTCTGTAAAAAAAAAAAAAAATCACTAAATAAACTATATACATGGTGAAACCTTCCTGAAAAGTTTTAATCTAACATTTAAGAAATCTGTTATATATATATCACATTTGTGTTTTCATTTTCTAATGGAAACATTATAATTGGATATGCATAAATAGAAAATATCTGTAGAAAAATGTAGTATACAATCAATTTTGTGTATACCGGCAATTAAGGTAGTAAGGAATCTTCTTTATTAGTCTTTTGTCCCTAACAATTTCACGCACGGCAACATGTGCTGGGGATCCTGCCTCAAGCCAATCTTTGTTCCTTTCCTCTGTTAATGGACCACGCTGGCATGAACTTTTTGCTCCTGCTCTGTATGGCAAAATCCATTCATGCTCATTCACAACATGATGTATGACTCCAAACCAAATGCCCTGAAAAGAAGAACAGTCTTAAATTTTTTTTCACTCTCTATTAACACAAACTGAATCAAGTGGTTTTTCTATTTACAGTTCAAACTTACAATAAACTCTTCTTCTGTATTTGCTACAGAGGAACAAAACCAAAAATGGTTTACTATCTCTCTTGTCCACTGTAATATTGGTTTTTTTGATTTTTCTTGTCCAGTCTGAAAATAATGTTCAAAATTCAGTTTACTCATTTAGCATTTTTCCAAATTTTGAAAATGTTCTTAAAAAAAAAATCTTAAATTGTCTCACCTTTATTAGTTTTTTCCCAAGGTTTTTTGACCCATGCCAGATGTCGAATGAATGTTTTATTTCTGGGTAATCTTTTTCTGTTATAAAAACATGATGATAGCTACAGTAAATCTAATTTATATATTTATCCCTAAAGAAAAATCAGAAAAAAATCCTAATTACAGATTTAAGGTTTAAAAAAGAAAAAAAACAACAAAAAAAAAAAAAAACAAAGAAGTATATAAAGACACATACTCATTAAAGCTTCAATCTGCACATGTGCATCTGTCACCACTTCCACCACATTTATTTCTTTTTCAAGGAGAAACTGCAGGCCCTTCTGAAAACACGCCTTTTCAAGGATTGCACTTTTTCTTCCTGTCATTCTCTTGTCCATGGTCACTAAGCACAGTATCTTGTGGGTTTCATTTTCCATAAATGTGTACGTACAGTACTGTGCGGAATGACCTGGACTGTCCATACGACCATCGCCTAAGCAAACAAACAAAAAAAAAAACAAATAATCAAAATAAAAGAAAATTTAAATATATCCTCTTCTTGACAAAACAAACAATACAAGCATTTGGTTGATATTGTACTCACCAAGAACAACAACATCTTTTCCTCTGAATTCTTCTAGAATATCATTCTGATGCTTTTTCCAAATTTCTTCAATTGTTGGAGTGACATAGGTTCTTTGTATCTTTATAAATGATGAGACAGACAGAATGGGGAGCTTCAGGAACTTAAAAAACAGGGAAATCTTTTGAAAATTATTTCCTGACGCCAGTAAAGCTGCTGAGATTAAAACATCCCCACTGTGAACCCGTCTATTAAGAAGAGGTTGCGAACACCATTTGTGTGCCTCATGATTGTTTGTGCAGACCTGGAACAGAAATTTAAAAAGTGCCTTTGTATTTCAAAAAGAAAGGTGAATGATGCCTTGTCACAATATGTATTATATATGATTCTTTTAAAATTATACTGAAGTTCATTACCCATCTCAGGTACACAGCTGAAGACACTACTTCTGATGAAATGTGAACTTGAGCTTCACATCCTTTCACCCTACAAATCTTAGGGACTCCTGTTTCTGCCAAGGTAATCAGCTGATTAATGTAAACCATGGCTGGACAATCATGGACCAGTTGTTCAATTTCATCATTGTTGCGTATAACTGGTAGACAACTATACTCAGCATGTTCTACAAATCTTTCTTGATCGTCCTCAATCTCTTCTGAATCCGACTCATCTAGCGTCACACCATGGTCAAGTCTATAGAGAGAATAAAAAAAACATAACAAAATTATAAAAATTTATGTTATTACAGTTTAATGAACCAATTACCAATAATTTTTCCCATTAGTATGTTTCATGCTATCTGAAATATTTACAATGATTAAACATATTTAACCTCTTTTAATTAAATTTTATATTACTAAGTAAATAATAATTCTAATAAAAATTACTTTAAAGACAGGTGGAAACTTGGCTCATATTCTTCATCATCAGAAGAGTCATTTTCTTCGCATGTCAATTCAGAGGCACTCATTGTCAATCTAATAAAAATGCATATATCAAAATCATTCATGCTAAAATAATACATGACGTATTTAGGCCATCACTAATAATAATAATATATTTTTTTATGTACTCCGACTTACATTTTTCAAGGTGGGAATGTAGGTAGGTGTTTTGTTTGTTTGTTTTTTGTTTTTTTTTTTTTGCAGTATCTATAGCTAACATCAATTACTGTCATAAAAAGCATAAACTTAAGATTTATTGATGCTTTCATGATACACCGGATAAGACAGATTTAATATTTATTGCTATAAAAATGTTATTTCAAACAAGAGGCACTGGGGCCACATCGCTCACCTGAGCACTCTGGCTAGGAAACAGCAGAAATCAATTCAGTCCTGAAAAGTTTAAATATAAAAGTGGTTCGGGGGGGGGGGGGGGGATGTACTTCATATGGATGCTTATGAGTTAATATGACAAATATGCCCCTGTATTTTCCTGGGGGTCATAATTTGAACAAACTTGAATCTACACTACCTAAGGATGCTTCCATATAATTATGACCAATCATGGTTTTGCTGTTCTTGAGAAGAAGATTTTTAGAGATTTTCCCAATATATTCCTATGTAAAACTTTGACTACCCATTGTTGCCCCACCCTACCCCCGGGGGTCATGATTTGAACAAACTTGAATCTACACTATCTGAGGATGCTTCCATTTAAGTTTCATGTTTTCAAGCACAGTGGTTCTTGAGAAGAAGAATTTTAAATGATGCCATTAATTTTTCACGAATTCATAATTATCTCCCCTTGGAAAAGGGGGTGGCCTTTAATTTGAATCCCCTTTACCCAAGGATACTTTGTGGCAAGTTTGGTTGAAATTGGCCCACTGGTTCTTGAGAAGATGAACATGTGAAAAGTTTACGATACCAACGCCAACAACAACAGACAATGGAAAAATTTCGATCAGAAAAGCTCAGGTGAGCTAAAAAGTATCTTAGAGAATTATAAACCTTTAAAATGAAACAATGTCTATTTCCCTTGACCCCCCCCCCCCCCCCAAAAAAAAAAAAACATTTAAAATTTAAAGTACTGGGGAAAAGATAGGGTAAGGGCAATTTTGACAGGTCAGTCGGAGTACATCAAACAAATTAATTTTTATTGGCCTTAGAAAGAAACATTTTTAATATGTGTGACAAAAGAGCAATGTTGTCAAACCTAAAAGGATCCACAAAACTGTCTGAAAATGGCTTAAAGCTCTTAGTCCTTGGATCTGTAGGTTCTGCAATTTCCTCAATGCCAGACATAGCACTTTCAACACTGAAAATATTATTTAAATTTTCTTTTTAAAAGTAAATTTTCTACATAATAATAATGATAATAATTTCAAAACTCCATTTAGAATGTTTTTGGTAATTATATATGTATTCAAAAATTGACACAAATACTTCTCAAAATTTTGCAAATGTAAAACAAGCTTGGATATTTACTCTTTTCCCACTTCATCTGGTGAAATGTCAGACAAATCAGACTGAACAATACATATTTTCTTCAAAGCTGGTGGACCAGGCGTTGATGTAACACAGGGTTTGAAGTTTTTTCCAGCAGGAACACTTGTATATTTTTGCTCATCCTTAGCTTCATAGCTAGAACAATGAAATCTAAACGTTTAACATAATTATATAAATATCTTGTATAGTTATCTAAACGTTTAACAGAGTTTGGTTATTTACCCTTTCCGTGCCTCACAATATTTACGCTATCAACTGGCTTACGAAGATACTTATTTGTTGTATATTACAACAAAAAACTAACATCGGCTGAATAAGATATGATGCTTACAAGTCAAGTAAGGTACTAAGAGTTTTCTCCAATCATTTATACTAGTATCTTGCATTAAATTGGCTATAATTAAACTTGTACACACTTACTTGTCAAGCAGAATCTTTGCAACTTCGATATTTGTTTTCACGGATAATTTTGTCCGCAGCTCCGTCCAACGATCGTATTGATCTCCAATATATATTTTGTTTTTGTTTAACCTAGCATTCGCTTCCCTTTTATTCCTTTTTCTCGCCGAATCCGTTAATTTAATCTTCGCACCACGTTTTCCCGACATCTTTGCTCTGCATCTCCGACAAGCTGCACATGCGTACATCAGTACGAACATCAGTCTCCGAGCGTTTGACCCAGAGGTCACTTGCATATTTCTGACTACGTCGGGGAAATATTGTCTTGCAAGACAAAAATTCATGAACGGCTATTTTTCTCTTTTTCGACTTATTTTAGACCTTCAATGAGTTCAAATTTAGTCTATAATTTTAAATTTCAGATCGATAAAATGTTTTCGTGCTACATTCGTGATTAAAAAAAAATTGCCGCCGCTGACAGCTTATATTGCTTTAATTATTATCCAATTATGTCTTAATGCTCAGAGTTACTCTTCATTGTAATTGTTTCTGTCATTACTGCTATGAATTGGTTGTTTCATACAAGATCTTCAGTTGGAAACAGGTCCTTAAACTGTCCATGCCGACTCCAATTCGCGTAGAAAACGCCAAGCGTTTTTGATCGTTAATAAATAAGTAAAAGAAGGACCGATTTAATTCTACCTCTCTATTCTACAAATCTACACATTCTACACATGTACCATTCTACACTTGTCGAAGGGACAGCTGCTACCTATCTTTAATCGACTTAAGTCAGTCGAGGCCGGGGTTTGAACCATGACCTTCCGATCAACCGACGGAGCTACCGTGACGGTCTACATCGTAATGAATAAAAAAAATTATTTAGACAAAAATCAACTCCCAGCACCTTTTAAATTAACCATGATATAAATAATTTACATTCCCTATTTCAGATTTAACAGTCTACTACATGCATGTCCTCGCACTTTAGAGGTTTATCAGGACTAGCCTATTCCTATTATTTTCTTTACATTATGTGATACTGCAACTTGATATAATCTTGATAGGTTTACAGTTTTCTTGGTTAGATTTTAAGATTTAAAGCGATTTTGATTTCAATTAAGCATTGTTCAATGGATCCACTTATCTGTATCACCTTTACTGCGTCAAGTCAAGACGAGTGACGTCCTTTATGACACATGATTTGTTTCTGCAGTATTGCATGTTATCAAAAGGTGATATTTTGCACTCTTTGATAAATAACGGATAACACAAATGCATGCAACCTCTTTATGCTCATCACCATATGCTGTAATTTATTTGTTAAAATAACTTATTTTATCTCATTATTACTTATTAAAGGTGCTTGGACACAGATTTTAAGTTAATATTTTCTCAAATTTTCTGTATAATTTCATGACTTATATGTTGCTATAGCATTTCATACTAAAATATAATAAAAATCTTATTTCATCTCGAAATTATTAAAATTTCGAATTTCTGGACGTGTTGGATTGACACATCCTTGCGCTTTCACATATTTTGATTTTATTCTTAATACTTAAGAAAAGTGGCAATTTTGTTTTGTATTCATGAAAAATATTAAAACTATAACCCAGAAAATTCAGAGTAGAAATGTTCGAAAGCAAAACCCACTCACAGTCCGTACTCAGTGGTGTGTGCAGAATTTAACAATTGAACACACCCGTTGAATCGTAAACACTAACAATAACAGAGCTCGTGCCCTGTTTACAAAAAACAGTTTACGTATCACGGGTGTTTTCCATTAAAATTTTGTTACACATCACAGAGCACGGACTGACAATACTGGTGAGTTGGTTTTCCTTTTGAACATTTCTACTCTGAGTTTTCTGGATTATAGATGTAATATTTTTCATTAATACATAGCAAATCGCTTCTTTTCTTAAATATTAAGGATAAAGTTAAAATTTGTGTAAGTGCAAAGTTGTGTTAATCAAACGCGTCCCGGAATTCGTAGTTCCAATGATTTCCAGAATTAAGTTTTTAATTATATTTTCATGTAAATTGTTATTGCAATATATAAGTCGTGATATTATACAGAAAATTTGAGAAAATATTAAGTTCAAATCTGTGTCTAAGCACCTTTAAATTTTTATATCACGTCACAATGATACTTACTATATATGAACCCATGTCCATAACAAAGCTCTGAAAACGATAACTTTTTTTCCCTGAGATGCCATATAGCAAGTATCATTGTTTATACTTGTATGTCTTACGTGTGTTGCATCTATATCCAGTATATCCATTGTTGCAACCGTTACTGCAGATTCCGTCAACATAATTACAAACTGTGCCATTAAAACAGTTATCACTGCAAGTTTTCCTGCAAAAGTTTCCATACGTTCCAACAGGACACGCTGTCAATAAAATATTTAAGATAAATTATCAAACAGATATAAAAATCGACAGAAGTTTTTTTTTTTTTTAAATTAAATACAGTAATTGTATCATATTTACTTGTGTTTTCTATTTAGCATTTTTGACAGACAGATAAATACAGTACATCATTATATATCATACATTTATGCATATATATAAATGTATTATTTAGAAATGCACTTAATCAGATCAACGCTAACTTTTGAAAAATAAAATTTCTGAGAATCATTCTTAGATATAAAGAATTTACAGTATTTTCAGATAAAGGCAGGGGATACTAACTTGTACATACTTTTGTTACAGAAAGGTCCTATATATCCAGGTCTACAACCCAAGTCACAACTTCCTGTTGTTTTGTTGCAGTGAGAATCATTCAAACAATTTCCACTACAATTATGAATACAACCTGGACCAAATGTTCCGTTTACACATTCTGTAATTAAGTAATTTCACTTAAATTGCATGTGTACACACTTCTCAGATCTTTAATTGTTTCATTTTCTTACAATTCTACCCGGTATTACGATACATGTACATATCTTTTCATGTTCTCCTCGTAAAGTACTCAGGATTGTTTTAATTCTCATTTTGCAAATCAATTTCACTCTTTTTCTACAACTTTCATGAATAGTATTTTTCAAAATAACAACATGGAGCTCCATGGTTGCTTTGATAAAAACTTATAAATGCTTTTTTAAACTTTAACATTGGTTTTCCAGCTTTAGGTTGAATTCTGACTTTTAAGTTGGTAATGCTCACTTTAAAATCGGTAATTCCAACTTTGATTACACTTTTATCTAATCACTGCCAATTTTGGGGTTAGCAATTCCAACTTCTAAGTTTACTTTTTCAGCTTTTAACTGCCCAACAAAGTTGTTGGTAATTCCAGTTTAAAATATGGTAATTCAAACTTTAATCTACATCTAGGCTTTTCTAAGATTAAACCTGGCAAACGACCTTTATATTTGATATTTCTACTGTTGAAGTTTGTAAAACAATCCGAAAAACTGATAATTCAAACTTTAATCTTTGCTTCGCCGTCTTTAAAGTTCGCTTTTCCAATTTTCAATGTTTTTTTTTTCCAACTTCGATATAAGCTTTTAAAACTTTAAAACTTTTAACATGATAAACTTCAAATTTTTCTACTGACTTTGTTTTTGGTTTCGCTAATTTTGCGTGAAAGAAACTGTAAATGAGGAGAAAAAAATGAAATTACTGGAAACCATCCAGGCAATTACTTATTATTTCTTTTATTAAAATAGCTAAATCGAATTTAGCTTTTCGTATCAATACATGTTGAATACCCTTTTTTTCAGGGAGGGTCTCCACTAATTGGGAAAAAAATGTCTTAGAAATATCCTACGAACATTAGAATGAACATTAGAATTTCCTATTTTCCAGGGTTGGACTGGGTCTAAGATTATTTTTATACCCCTGAAATCGGTGTTTGGAAGGGAGTATGTAACTGAGGATTTTTCATAACCTTGATCCATCGTCATAGATGCAAGTTCAAGGTCACTGGTAGAAAAAGTATAAAGATCATGACTGGTCTAGAACTTTGTTATATAGAATTATTGGATGTCCATATTTCAATAAAAGATTATTTACGACCAGAGGATGCATCATTTTTTCAAACCAAAGTCGTTTTGGCAAGTTCAAAGTCACATTTACAAAATTTGAAAACCCACTTTAAAAAATTGCAGTGGGTGTATTATTTTATGAGCTTGCTCAAAAATACATAGAGTTTTCACCATTTTACATTTTGCAATATAAATATTAAAACCTTCAAAATCCAGGGGATAGGGGGATAAAGATCCCAAGGCCCAATCCCCCACTGGATCCGATACTGCAATAGTGCATTGTACCTATATGTATAAAGGAATTAGTACAAACAAGCTTAGTCTATCGAGATTTTGAAAAGTTTAACATCATTTAACATTTAAATAACCACTGATCTTTATTTTACATACAAATATAGAGAGACTATGGGATGCAAATTTGAGAGCAACCTCAAATGCTGAAAAAATATGTCGGTTGTGGTAAATGTGTTCTTTGTTCACCTGTCTTATATACTAAGATATAAATACAACAATATATATCAACTTTCAGCGATTGATAAAGCATGTGACAAAAAATTCTAAATATTTTAATTTCTTTATACTGTAATTGTAGAGCATAATTTTTTTTAGTACTAAAGCGTATTTAAGTATACAAATAAAATGCGTGAAATCGAAAAAAAAAAATGTAGAAAGTCCAATATTTAAATTGAATTTACCAACTTTAGAGTTGAAAAGGTCAGGATTAAAGTTGGAAAAGCCAACTTTGGCCAATTTCAAAGTTGTAATCACAAACTATAAAGTTGAGAAAGTAAATTTTAAAGTTGGAATCACAGGTACCTACTTTTGAGTTGGGAAGTACAAATCTTTTAATTTGGAAAAGCTAAGATTAAAGGTGGAAAAGCAAGTTTTTGAGATGGAAATAACCGTTTAAAAGTTGATTGACAAAACCAAGATTAAGGTGGAAAATCCAGCTTTAGAAGTGGAATTTATAACTTTAAAGTTGGAATTGTAAGAGGAAAAACAGTCCAACGTCGTATTGGTATGATTTTCCGAAATATGACCTTAAAGCATAAGCATTTGAAAAAGTACTAGACAAAGAAACTTCAAGTATAGTATTTTGCAATAATGTATGACTTTATATTTAAAGAAATTTTGGCAAGCTTATGATCAACGGTCGTGTCAACAATATAGGCTTGAATTCGTTTAAACAAGGTTATGAACACAAGGAGTGGAAGGGTAAAATAATCGTCCCTGTGACACTGATATAGAAATGTAACAGAGGGTTACATTCAAGCGCCCCTTACATGAAAGGCAGTAAAATATTTCTTGATCATAATCCAACTTCACTATGACAATGTAAAATGCCACTTAGAATAAGAGTATTAAATTTGTGATTTGTCCGTATTGAAATTAACTTAAAAAAAAACAACAGTGAAACTTTTCTTGATTATGACCAAAGTTCATTTTGACAATGCTATGATTGGTCCATATTTTCGAAAGGAACTCCTTCTTTAAATCAAAGAACTGTCTAGTGTTATTGGTTGTAACTGAGTCATATTGCCTGAATTTCATCAAGGATAATTTAATCGGTTTGGAGACTCTTTTTTAAAATAAACATTGAATACTTAAAAAAGAAGTCTTCAAAATTACATACCAGTAATCAAGAGAATATCTTTAAAGAGAAATACTTATATTTTATTATGGAATGTGACTTTTTAAAATATATATAAAATCCGAAACGTTACCTATATTACATATGACTCCCATCCATCCCGAAGCACATCCGCCTACACAATTGCCCGACTCATTATTGCAGGTAACGTTGTTTTTGCAATAACCAAGACATTTGTTTTCACATCCTATTCCATACCATCCAAAAGGGCATGCTTTTTGTTCAAAGGTAATATAAAAAACAAATTGCTTGAAATTTCACCACAATAAAAACAAGCAAAAATATATCACTTAATACAAATGCTGCAGAAATCTGGTTTCAATGAATAGTTTGTATACTTTTGTGGCTGTATGTTTATTTGGAAGAGACCTGATAAATTATGGATTTGATTAAAGAGAAACTTTTCTCTTTTCCCCATATATTTCAAAAATTTTTTCCCCAATTTCAGTTGTATTTCATTCTCTTCACCATCTAGATATTCTAATTAAAATTTTTTTGAAATATCTGATATTTTAGAATTATCAATATCTACTCTTAGATTGCGTTAAAAAATATTCGTTCTAGCGATAAACGGTGAAAAGTGTTTAAAATATTTTAGCATTAGTTTTCATACATGTATAACTTATTCGTTTAAAAACTTATCACACGTTTTACTCTTCATACGTTTATCACATTTGTCTCCCGTCCATCCTGGCCTACATCCCAGACAACTTCCGTTAACTATGTGACATCTCAGTTCCTGGCAGTTGGCAGGGCATGGTAGATCACAGTTAACGCCATAAACTCCATTTTTAGCACAACCTGTACAATACATGACGAAGTACATGTAAATGTTTTTAATCCAATGTACCAGGATGGTGCAGTTTTCTGGACTTTTGTCATTTACAGTTTCCCTTGCGACATTGTGAAATCTACGTAACTATGACAGAGACACTCATTAGCCTTTTAATTTGTTCTGTTTATTTTTTTCACCCCATAATGTTAACACAAAAAAATTTTTAAAAATATATTAGACTCGCAAAAATTTATTTCAAAAACTTACAAATTAGTAATGCAAAACATATACTTTACTCATTGTGTATTATCATTATTTTCATATACATTGTGTATTATCATTATTTTCATTTACATGAATTTCAAGTGTACTTATGACATATGAAATTCATAAACTGTTTTGACTGTTCCTTTGTAAAACCACAAAGCTCATGGATAGGAAAATTATCAAAACTGATTGAAGGTACCATAGAGAAACGCATTTACATAATAAAATTTAGAATATTACTAGCTGGTATGCTCTTACCATAAACTATCACTTCACATAACATTGTTATGCTTTGAGTTTTGTAACCATCAGGATAGGTAACGTCATCCAGTCTTTCGTTGTAATAAACGACGTATCGTCCATATTTTATGCAAGTTGTGTTAAAATCCAAAGGAGGCAGCTCAGGTCCGTCCTTGTAACAAAGAACCCAATCTTCTCTGTTGGTGGAGTTTGAAAGATAGATGGAGAATCCTGCAAATCGTCCTCTTTGTCTCATAACTGGAAATAATATTTTTAAAAATTTGTTAACATATCAATTTCATTTTGTAAAAAAATGTTCTTAAATCACTTTCATGCAATAGTGGCTTTGAAGTTGAAAAGTTGTGTCTCAAGCCCGTTTTTAGAGCAAAAGGGCCTATTATCTTGTTTGTTAGATTTGTAAAATCAGAGTTCTCCATAAGCTGCTTTACTGTGTCGGCCCAAACACAGTGAAATTTCCTCCGACACAGTAACTATTCAAATATTATGCCTGCAACACAGTAAAACTTTTGCGACACATTAAATTCTTAAGATCTTTGACGAACAATATATCAGAACATAAATTTTCTCTAAATATCGTTAAATTAAAACTTGAAACTAAAAAAAAAAACAAACTAAAACTTGGGGTGTTAAAAGCCATCTTTCTTTTTTGAGCGAATGCACGAAATTACGTCCCCTCTGCAAAACTTAGACAATCCTCCAAAAATGGCCCCGACGAATATTATTGATTTCCAGTATTACTTGCTTGATGTGCTTCATTTTGAATACATAAAACATGAGCTAAAAACATTAACATGTATATTTTAAAAGTATTGTATAAAATTGAGATGATAATAAAATATAAGAAATAAAACTTAAAAATCAGGTATTTTTATGAACGTCATGCGAACTACAATTCTAAAATCTGTTTTCCCCCTTATTTTCCAAAAACTAATGACATTGAATTCACAATAAAGAAAAGTGTGTATTAGAAGATTACATGTTTAAAACACTGTCCCTAGATCAAGATACTCGTAACATACGTCAGTTTTCCTAATTTAAATATCACCTGCATATGGCGTAGGCAAGAATTGGTTCTACGAACGAACAATTATTTTACATATGTACGGCAAGCTACTGGCTAATAAGTTGATAATGCAAGGATACTAGCAGTTTCGTGAAAGTCAACATTTCGAAAATTCTATGGCCGATACAATGACATTGTTAGCAATTACAATTTATCGTTACGGTGAATTCACCATGCATCGGACACACACTAGTACCTTGCTTCGGACAACTTCAAGCATCGAACTAACATCAAACCTGAATGACCTCATCTTTTAACTTCTGTCCCTAGATCAAGATACTCGTAACATACGTCAGTTTTCCTAATTTAAATATCACCTGCATATGGCGTAGGCAAGAATTGGTTCTACGAACGAACAATTATTTTACATATGTACGGCAAGCTACTGGCTAATAAGTTGATAATGCAAGGATACTAGCAGTTTCGTTAAAGTCAACATTTCGAAAATTCTATGGCCGATACAATGACATTGTTAGCAATTACAATTTATCGTTACGGTGAATTCACCATGCATCGGACACACACTAGTACCTTGCTTCGGACAACTTTAAGCATCGAACTAACATCAAACCTGAATGACCTCATCTTTTAACTTGTTTCTATCTTAAAGCTTACTTCTTTTTTGTTTAGAGATACATATATAATATCAAATTTACAGCTTTTTTTTGCAGAAATAAAAAATATAAACTAAAAATAAAACAAGTTCTCTTTATATGACACGATGTTTCTTGGCACTAAAAGATCTTTGATAATATTCCAGACCAAGTTGCCAAATTACGAGGCAAAGCAAGCCTCATCTAAGGTGATGTGAAGAAACTAAAATCTCTACACATTTGTGGTTCAAAACATACAATAAAATATAGAAAAAAAAAAGCTAATGTTAAATGAATCATCAAATATTGTGACTTATTTATAAGCATTCAGGCATTTTCAAGGCCACGGTGATAAAGGTAGGGCATTTTTCCGGTTCAATACATTATTTGGCCGATGCCATTGTCCTATCCATGGTGAACTCAGAATCATTCAAACAAATTGTTTTATATGAATATTTTCTCAATAATAAGCAATATTCTATCATATTTAATATTTCAATCACATAATACATGCTACAAGCTCCATTTTGATAATATTCGGTTGGCAGCGATATCACTACTTGTTCAAGTACGAGGATATCCGATGCATAGTGAACTCACCCTTAGTCGAATGTTGACTTACAAGACAACAGAAATCTCAGAAATGTAGGTAGATAGTTGAACATCAGTGCATGTGAGCTCTTCAGAATACACCATTCTAAATTATCACATTAACTTGTACATGTATTAAGACGGAATAAGAATGAAAACTATTTTGAAAAGAAATTAGTTTTTGCAAAACCTGCGTCAATTTGATTTTGAAACGCTTCACATAATATGCTTTACATTGAAATAAACCATAATTATTGTGGTAAAGCTTTTAACTAATACAAAGTATTTACCGTATGCTGAGCCAAAGTCCTTGAATAGTATCCTGATACTGTGAATACTGTAGATATCACCAAGATCAACTCTCCACCACACACTGGTGTCGGGAGAGGATCCTCCTATAACTCCGGTCCGTGTACATGATGACATATTTCTGTCAACTGCGTTGCTTGCAATATACCAACTTCCACAAAAATATGGTTCAGTACAAGGATTCGTTAATGTCTGACTTGAAGCTTTATCATGTGACAAATCGACTTAAAAAACAATTTGTTTATAAAATTGAATGATTGCTTATTGCTTAAAGCGACATCATGTGTTCTGTTATGTTATTTGTATCATAAATCAAAAAAGTAATAAAATATTAGTAAAAAACAAACATTTGACGAATTTAAATTAAACTGCGCTGCTAAGCAACCAGAGAGTGACTGACAAGCAAAGTAATAAATTATTGCATCGTCATTATTGTCTATGTTAAGATCACGAAACTCTTCTTATATAATTCCATATTTCGAAATGCTTAACCATTGAAACATCTAAGGGCAAAACTTCAATCTATTTTGTGCGCTGATGACCCTTTACATGAAGTCAAGGTCAAAGGTAATGATCAGTTTCCTTAATATTTTCATTTCTTCAGTCTTTTAAGATCGGTCATGGTACATGTGGTCTAGAACTGGGTAGGGCCACCAAGTCGTCTTTTTTATCTGGCATGTTTACCTAAGGCCCGAATTGCTCCTAAAGTGAAATTTGGTTTTATCTTAAACCAATGGAAGAAAACTATATTTGGAAACTGATGTCAATGGCTGCCGGGGAATGTTGTATAGAACACACAAAACTAATCACAGTGCCCTCAAGACCTGTGGTGACACGCTCAGGAAAGTAGGAGTTGCACGGGACAAGATTAAAGCTGAACACGCTTCGTAAAAAGAATCTGTCCGCAATATTCGATTGGACTCTCGCTATATCTGATGGCCCCTATATATAGAGCCGCTCACTTAGTCACTGTTCAATTGTCACCGATCTAGACGGATGTATATGCTATACAGCACTCGGTAGCGACAAAAATAACTGGATACTTCTAATGCAGGAGAGTAAGATACCAAAGAGACGTACAACAGTTGCACAGGTCAGTGCAGTATACAAACAAACACAAATACACGTAACTGCAATAAATTTTAAACAAACGTGCAAGATAACCAGCACGAACACGGGTCGCCAATCCAAGCCGATACCCGTGACAATAAAGCAGTCAGGTGTAACGAATGCAAAGAGTATACCCCGGTGCTGATATCGTAGATAGTAATATCGAAAATGGCGTATGCCTATTTACGAGTTGTGTTCAGCTTTAAGCACATAACCGGTCACAAATAAAAAGTACTCATACAGTAAATCTTTTGAAAAAATGCTTTAATCGATACTTTTCAATTTTTCTTTAACCCCCTCCCAAAAAGGCTAATAAATTCTTCAGTATACGTAATGTACCTTTCTTCTTTAAGATTAGAGTAAATAAGGAAAAGTAAGGTCAAGGTAAGGGGTAAATAAAAGTCAGAAAATTACGACACATTTAAAAAGCTCTCATCAATTAATCAATACCTAGTCTAATCTAGTTATCTTACAAAAGTACGAATAATTTGCATTGATAGGTGTTAGAGTAACAGTTGCTACATTTAACTATCAAGATACTTAAGTTACTTGCATGATTAATGAAAATAAAAAGTGGAATTACATACCATAACCAAATATTCTTATAAATCCAAATGACAAAATCAGTATTCTGAGCATTTTTGCGATAAGATAATACATATTGCTTACAACCATTGATCTATAGCAGTATAACCAGGAAGTCATGGATTTAGGTATGGTGGGTCTTTGTTACAATATTCAGAACTTTTTAAAATTTTCTTTTGTATCTTATTATGATTCAGTTTGCATGTAATGTATCTAGTGTGCAATTGCACAGCTCGAGTTTTTCAGAATGACTACATAAGATGGAAAAAACTCAGGTTATTTCTCGTAAATTATATGGCACAGTGTAAACACCCTACCCACTTACTTATAATCGGCGTAATTTAGAAACTTAAAAGAATAGCGAAAAGACAGAACTTGGGAGGACTAGGATAAAACATATTGCTATTTAAAGATTTGGATGAGTGCATGTTCTTTTTCCACGTCCACACATTTCAAAGACAAGGACCTCGACCAACATTTCATTGAATTAATTGAGTTATCGTGGTTGTAAATAGAGATTTACAGTAACTGTTGTATCACACAGATTTCCCTAGTTTCTAAGTCAAAAGCCGTCGATAGATCAAGGTTTTAATGACAAAAACAAACAAGAGGCCCATGGGCCACAACGCTCACCTGAGAAACTTTGGCCCTGCTGTTCTTCACCAGACTTTCCACCAAGTAATACCTATTGTGGCCCCATCCTATCCCCAGGGGTCATGATTTTAACAATTTGTAATCTACACTACTCCAGGATGCTTCCACATAAATTTCAATATTTCTGGCCCAGTGGTTCTTGAAAAGGAGATCTTTAAAGATTTATTGAATATCTCGTACATTGTATTTCAATGTAAAAATTAGATTCATTATTGTGGTCCCATCCTACCCCAGGGATCATGATTTTAATAATTTAGAATCTGCACTACCCCAGGATGCTTCCACATAAGTTTCAGCTTTTCTGGCCCAGTGGTTCTTAAGAAGTTGAAAATGTGAAAAGTTTACAGACGGACGGACAGACGGACGTACGACGGACAATGGGTGATCAGAAAAGCTCATTTGAGCTTTAAGCTCAGGTGAGCTAAAAAGTCATGTTATCCTTTCTAATTGTTCTTGATTTATGTGTTACATGTAATATAGATTCACGCAAAACTATGATCTAAATCCTGACGAAGATAGACTATACATGAATATACATTTATCAATAATGCATGTTTGGGAGGGCAACCATACTAACAGTAGAAATTGACATCCAGATAGAAAACAATTATCAGCAGCAGAAGAAGAACATACAATGGTTTTCTATCTTTCAAATGTTAATCTTAAAAAAAGTATTAATTTGATTGAACTTCTGATTGATGCTATTCAAAGTCGTTGATGGTCGTTCTCAGATGCCGGTAATACTATGCTTGATATACTGAATGTAGAAGGAAACCAACGTCATCCCGAATTATTAGGGGGTGAAAATGAAAAAACAATCCGTATTTTCGAAAAAAAAAACTCTCCAATTAATGAATTTACAACTAAATTCAAACTACAATAATTGTTCTGTAGTAAAAATGTAGCCTCATTCAAGTTGGGTTATCCTCATATCGATATCCAGTCATGCGAGTCTATGTACTTTACGTCCTTCGCTAAAACAAGGCAAAATTTGCACATTAAATCCAGCTTGAAGTCTTTCCATAGGATAATAAAAAAAATACAGATTTACGATTCAGGAAAACTTACTTTCCCTTTTATTATTCGTCATTGCTACACCCCATCTAACCTATTTACAGAATTTGTTCACAGATAGGACAGATAACATTTTTGGAAACTGCGTGCAAGTTGACAGTGATTGGTCAAAAATGTACCAGAAAAACATTTTTGTCTAATAACTACATTGTATCTGCATTATATCTATAGATGTTGTTTTGAGCGAGTGAAGTGGGCTTAAACTTCAACAACTTGCATGAAAAGATATCGGGTTTGTGAAACTGGACTTGAACACATTCTAAATGATGGCAGCAATATTTTCTATTAGAGTAATTATTGTTGAATGATTCGTTATCTGTATTATTAATATCCATGAGTCGTTTGTACTGGCTGCTAGGTATTCTATTGAAAATACGGTGTTCAAGTACCTAATATGCATGGACTTCCTGAGTTGTCATTGGGTCCGACGTCAGTGGACGGGGCCTGTGGAAATTAACAGAATGTTTCTTGTATTTCAATTCAACATTTTTGATTTCTATTTACATTTTTCTGCACATATAAATACAAATATAAGGAATCACTGCCTTGTGTTGGGTATATCAGGGACATTAACGACAGGTGGAAATGAATAATTTATGCAAAACTGTCTTGTGAATTATCAAAAAGCGAAAATTATGTCGCTTTCCTTCCCCCTTCCCTTTTTGTAAATAATGAAAATCTATTAAATGTCTAGAAACACATAATTTCATGGTATTTAAAATTAACAGATTATAACAATTTCCTGATTACTATAATTTTCTTTTAAAAACTGGTTCTCCCAATTACTTTCAAATGGGCCAACCAAGACCACTTGTTCTGAATTTAAATCATAGTAACATAAGAACGGGTGAACTGGGTCAATATTGATTTTCGCAATGTTTGTAATTCGTGTGGTTTTGTGAATATTGTTTGTCAGAATGAGATGGTCAGCATGATATCTTTAATCGAACATAAACCAGAGTCTTCTAAACAATCTACGTTTAAGGCTACTATAATTATAAATCTACTATAATTATAAATTTAGTGGATATATTTCAATACTTAATCAAACTACCAAGATTTTCCTCAGAAGGATTTATCACTGTTGGGCGGACGATAGACAAAACAAGATAAAGGTACATATTTTCTATCCAGACGCATGCGTAGATGTCGGTTAAAGGTCATTGTGGCGAATTGCACGAAAGAATGCTCCTTATAATTTGTAGTCGATTTTGATGCGTGTAATATAACGAATTGATATTTATGATGTATTCAGCTAGATGTATCCAGCTCATGAAAAGAAAGTAAATAGATAGAATAATATGTACATGTACTCTGCAAGATGTATTTCTTTCAGTTTGGCTTAATGACAGTTGCCTTCAATGAAATACTTTCTTTTTCATGCAGATGTAGCATTTTCTCATTTAACACGGGGGGGGGGGGGGGGAGGGGGGTTCCATCCCAGTCCAAAAAAAAAAAAAATTCTAACCCAAATATCCCTTTCCCAAACGTGAAAAACAACTATTTCGTGGTGGTGATGGTTGGTTTCACATTATCTAGGGTGAGTCATTTTTTATTTGTTGCTTCAGTATATACTTTTGATAACTCTGCAAATTCCGGGGGGGGGGGGGATTCTTGACCCCCCTCTCTAGATCCGTGCATGTAACAAAAATGTTTTTGACCATACACACTACATTGATATAATAAGGAAGTTATGTCAAGAATAAACTATCCATGCCAATACCATTCTCGTGAATATTTGTTGTAAAATGTCCTTAACAATTACTTGTTTTATTCAAGTTTGAAAAGTACTTTTTTTTACTTAGATAAAAGGATTGAGAGGATAAAGAAAAAATTAAGTTTGTTCTAGCTGCCATAAATTGAGGGATAATAATAAAAAAAACTATTTAAAGTCTGGAGAGTTTTAGCATCCAATGTCTTGGCGTTTTATTGAACACTGATTTTGCATAACGTATACGAGTATGCCTTGGAATATTCCGAATGCCATCGTTCAATATAGAACGCCCTGTTGTAAACAAAAAATGTCATCTGGTCAACCGTTTTTTTTTTTGTGACAGGTAGTGGGAGCTATGTAAAATGTGTTTATTTTCACACAAAATTGAAATTATCTATTAATAAATCAGTATATTTTAGCCTTATTAAAGCCTCTCTTGTTTATCAATTCACTTACAGGTACCTTACCTTGTTTTAATTTTCATATTTCTTACAAAAGATCTTGCAAAACATCCTTTTGATATCAGATGTTCATTGTCCCTATACATAAAATCTTACAAGAAGATATAAAAAAAGAATCTATATTAGCATCTTCAACTTGAGCTTTTATCGTTAAGAACACGAATCGCTGTGGTTAAACATCAAAATTACCATTGCAAAACTTGTCGCCTTCTTTTTTACAACGATCAGAACTACATGTACACGCCTGGCAAAGGATAATCTTTGTCTTAGGATAATATTCTCTTTTTAATGTTCTTAAAAAATAAATATCTACACAACTGTATATAACTCTTTTTGGAAATGGTTTTCTTTTCAAAGGTGAAGGTCTATTTCACACACACACTCATTAGATTCTTTTACAATTACATATAATAACCCATCAGCATTAGCCTCTCCGGGTTTACAATTACATAGAGCATTTAAAACAATACCCGGCTTTTCTTTTCACGAATATTCAAAAATAATATTTAGTTTTTTTTTTTCAAAGCCAACTTCCATAGTATGCTTCATATTGAAAGATACAAGCAATTTCAAAGAAATGTTGTCCCCCGCTTTCGGTGTTTTAGGGATGGGTTGCCATTATTTATGGCATATTGTAACTATGTATTGTCTATGCATCATACAAAAAAGACAGAAATTATTGAATTAATAACAGGTATGGCAAAGATTATAGCTTTTTCAAAACTACATCAAACTTCAAGATCGAGTTCATGAGGTCAAATATAATACAATTCGAAAGGTCTTGTCACAAGTAATGCACATGTGAAAATGATATAAAAAAAATCAAAGTATACAATCGGAACGGTCTTGGAACAGGTAATGCACATGTCAAATATAAATGCCACATCTTCTCTCCATTAAAAGTTATCAGCAATGTTTATTTTATTTTGAAAATTAGGTCAAACTTCAAGGTCATGGGGTTAAAAATCATAGTATAATTGGAAATGCTTGTCACAGGTAATGCACGTATCAAATATGAATGCCCTATCTGCGCTCCTTGAAAAGTTAGCAACATGCACTGATCAAATCTTGAAAATTAAGTCAAAATTGAAAGTGAAGGTCACGGGGTCAAATATCGTAGCACATTCGGAAACATTTTGACACAGGTAATGCACTTGTTAAATATGAACGCCCTATGATATGTCATTCAAAAGTATCACCAAGTTAAAATTTTTGAAAATTAGGTCAATTATAAAGGTCAAGGGGTCAAATGTCATAGCATGGTCAGAAACATCTTGTCACAGGTAATTTACGTCAAATATGAAAGCCCAATCTTTTCTCAATCAAAAGTTTTTAGCAAATTAAGATAAAATTTTTGAAAGGTAGGTCAAACTTCAAGGTCAAGGTCACGGGGTCAAAAACCATAGTACATTTGGAAAGTTCTTGTCACAGGTAATGCACGTATCAAATATGAATGCCCTATCTGCGCTCCTTGAAAAGTTAGCAACATGCACTGATCAAATCTTGAAAATTAAGTCAAAATTGAAAGTGAAGGTCACGGGGTCAAATGTAGCACATTCGGAAACATTTTGACACAGGTAATGCACTTGTTAAATATGAACGCCCTATGATATGTCATTCAAAAGTATCACCAAGTTAAAATTTTTGAAAATTAGGTCAATTATAAAGGTCAAAGGGTCAAATGTCATAGCATGGTCAGAAACATCCTGTCACAGGTAATTTACGTCAAATATGAAAGCCCAATCTTTTCTCAATCAAAAGTTTTTAGCAAATTAAGATAAAATTTTTGAAAGGTAGGTCAAACTTCAAGGTCAAGGTCACGGGGTCAAAAACCATAGTACATTTGGAAAGTTCTTGTCACAGGTAATGCACGTATCAAATATGAATGCCCTATCTGCGCTCCTTGAAAAGCTAGCAACATGCACTGATCAAATCTTGAAAATTAAGTCAAAATTGAAAGTGAAGGTCACGGGGTCAAATATCGTAGCACATTCGGAAACATTTTGACACAGGTAATGCACTTGTTAAATATGAACGCCCTATGATATGTCATTCAAAAGTATCACCAAGTTAAAATTTTTGAAAATTAGGTCAATTATAAAGGTCAAAGGGTCAAATGTCATAGCATGGTCAGAAACATCTTGTCACAGGTAATTTACGTCAAATATGAAAGCCCAATCTTTTCTCAATCAAAAGTTTTTAGCAAATTAAGATAAAATTTTTGAAAGGTAGGTCAAACTTCAAGGTCAAGGTCACGGGGTCAAAAACCATAGTACATTTGGAAAGTTCTTGTCACAGGTAATGTACATATATCATATGAAAGCCCTATCTTTTCTCATTCAAATTTTATGAAAGATTTAAAGTACTGTTAAATTTTTTGAAAAATAGGTCATCTTTTCTTTTTCAGAAGACCAATTTAAAGTAATGTTAAAATTTTTGAAAAGTAGGCCAAACTTCAACGTCAAGGTCACGGGGTCAAAAATCACAGTAGCGATCGCTCCGAGATCAATAGACTAACGTGTAAGAACAGAGGAATTCTGAATGAAATCTGTACATGCGTCAGGCAAATTTTCTTGTGCAACATTCCAATAATTCCTTCGCTACCAGGATTCCATGCGAAATTATTACAAAACATACAAAAGATCAAGGATAATTGTTCCTTACCAAGAGAAACGTTTACTTTTCTTTCATTGCAGAGAGCTCAAAAGAAACAAAAAATAATTGCTTGTATTCTGTTAAGTATTTCAATAAATATTGCACAAGACCTGTAGTCTCGTTCAACAAGATGCTCGGCTGTCTCCGTAAATTCCGACGTCATGTGAAGTCACAGTCTAGACTGTCTCTCGTGCAGTTTGAAGAGGCGGATCAACGTTACAAGTGTAAGCTGTGTAAAGGCAACTGCACTCGCCCCAACGGTCACACCGTAAAACATATTACATTTGGAAAGGTCTTGTCACAGGTAATGTACATGTAAAAAAATGAAAGCCCCATCTCTTCTCATTCAAAAGTTATGACCAAGATTAAAGTTTTTGTGACAGACGGACAGACAAATGAGATTTAATGTCCCCTCGCTTTCTGATAAACCCTTCATTTCATAGACACTTCTTTTTATCATTCTGTCTGTCAAAATTTAACCTTTTTTCAGTAGGGCTGGGACGATATATTGAAATACCGAATCTGAGTGAGGACGATACGTATATCGATACCTATGAAAAAATATCGAAATATCTTCAAAAAATTTCTGACATGTTTTTCTTTGTTTACTTAACATTTTGGGTTTAATATATAAAATAAACATGCTAAATATAAATATGATTATGAAATACATAATAATTAACACCACTTGTGTAAAATGATTTTGTTTTACAACAGATATGCAACTTCTTTGAATAAATTATTTGTGACTTCTGAAGAAATGTTTTGTTCATTTCAATGCAAAAAGAGAGAAGATTTTATAACCAATTAAACATATTGTGATACATATCGCATCGTGGCTCAAATATCGTGATACGTATCGATATAGGAAAGTTGTATCATCCCAGATTCAAAGCATCTGAGTCATAGATACGCATATGGCCATTGCAGCATGCATAGCATTTTTTGTATTATACATAATAAAATGTGCACGCATCTTATGCAAAACTTCAAAAAAAAATATTATATACAGGTATTTTTTTCTTTATCTTTATGAGATAACGTCTCTAAATGTTTCAAAAGCAAATTGTCTTTAGACAGACAATTATGGTAATACATATAATTTATACTGACACTATTTATAAATCTGAGTTGGCATGCAACTACATGTATATATCACTTGACTTGATGGACAACTAAGAAATGAAATTTTGCACATCCAACTAAAACAAATGATGCATTACAGAATATAACTGTTTACAATCAAACTTACCTACTCAGAAAATGTTTACATAATGTATATATTTTTCAGCAAGTACAGATCATCATGTTGTATCACTATATAACAGAGCATGGATCCCAATAATGCAAAACAGTGATGTGGGAACAGTTAGTGGGTGTTTCAGATGTACATCAAGAAAATCTAGTACAGTATTTTATATATTAATTTAACTGTAATCTTCAAACTGTACCTCAAAGAATATTTTTATAACACATTAAAATTGAGAATGATCCTATGTATACTTATGACATTTTCGAACACCTTCAAGCATACATTATAATAATATGAATTTTTATAACTCAACAGTTTCAGTGTCATTTATAAAACAAAATACCCAGACAATGAAAAGCCTAACTGATGAGTATGTGTAGTTGGTTTTTCTCTGCTGCACAACAATAAAGTAAAACTAGATATCAATGATGGTTACCATCTCAAAGGGTTCCACTTAAATGATGGACATTTTAAATGACTTCAAGATCCTTGCACATCCTTTGCCTACAAACACACTATGGATAAACTGATGCAATTTGAACTAACAGAAGAGAAAAATGCTCTTGACAACAAAGTTACAGAGATTTACTTTGACCACATAACTAGTCATAACAAAGAAAATAACAAAGAAAAGGCCTTACAAATCTGGTAATAATAGTTCATGGTTCACTTGTTAATTATTTGAATGCTTGTTTGGTCAACTTCAGGGAGAAAAATGGGATATCAAAAAGGATATCAAAATATCAATCATGATAAAAAGATGATTTCTTTAATTCAATATCTTATTTTTTCTCATTATATATGGTGACCAAAAAAAATTTATCAAATCTCTTTCTTTTCCCCTGTTACTTCTTCTCACCTTCTCAACACTCATCCAAATCAATACTTATTTCCTTGTTAAGTTTTCCGCATTTGTGTGGAGCTCTGAAAGTTGATTTATGACAAATATTTTTTGTTTTCTCAAAAAGATGCATATTTTGTAATATGTTGTGAAAATTACAGCTTCCCTCTAAAATATGTTCTTCTTTTGGGCTAAGAGCAGGAACGAAGTCCAAATGATTGAGTACCATCCACATTTGAAGGACTGCAGACAAATTTAACCTCATATAACTCTCATCCCACAATGAACACCTTTGAAGACTACTACTCAGTAAAATGTCATTAACATAATCATACATAACTATGTAATAATGAGCAGGGGTCAGTACTAGAGATGGAATTAAAGCCGAAACTGGTGAAATACCATTACTGTTCACAACGTTTCCTTGATAAAAAGCAAAGGTGATTGCTTGGCTAAGAATTTGTTCTGTCCATTTGTCAAAATGTGTGTTTTTTGATTTAATTTCACATTTTTCTGTTGATTTTTCATTTCTCTGCAAACCATCTCTTTCTTGGTCTGTGTTTTCATCATCAAGCTCATCATTTGGGAATTCTTCAAAAAATGAGATGGGTATATAATCTGGCAGCTCATCAGGAATTAAAACTATATCTGGGTGTCCGTACCAAAGCTCTTCAAAACCTAAAATTAAAAACAAGAATTCCTGATTATAATGTGACCAGAATTATGTTTCTTTTGAAAGACCTTTAAACTTTGTAGACTATATCACACCAAAAAACTTCATTTTTTTTGTTTTGTTTTTGTTTTGTTTTTTTTATTTTATATCTTTTGAAGGAGCCAATCAAATACTGTTGAATTTCATAGCTGTGAACTAATTTATGATAATATGGTCCTTAAATACAAGAATCATTGAGTGACGGATCAGCTACATGTAAATTGTTACAGCTGGCAATCTAAAAAGTTTTTAAAATAGTACACCATACCATCCAATTGAGCTCAATGTATCTAGAATAATATTTTTATAAATTTCAAGACATTTTTGAGAATTGAACAGTAAATGTTCAATCTCCCTAGACCGTAACCCAAACACAGCACAATGATTATTTGTTTAGCACAATTAACTCAACATTCCTAAATCTGCTATCAAATATTCTGTAAAATTCATGTTAACAAGAATTCTGATAGTATTGCATTAGCAATATAAGTCCCCTACAGGCAAGTGTAATCTGGTTCCTGTTAAAAATTGAAAATGCCACAATTCCGTTAAAAATCAATGAAGTGGAAGGAAATGCGAACTTGATCTAATTGAACTCATCAAGGTAAAGTCGCATGCCAAAAATCAGCTCAATATCTAAAAGCATTAAGAAAAAAATTGCCGAAAACCCCTGAGAAATTGAAAAGGTCATAATTCTATCAAAAATCATTGAAGCAGAACGAAATGCAAATTTGGTTTGTAACTCATCAACACTCACTTACCAAAAATCAGCTCAATATCTTCAAGCGTTTAGAAAAAAAATGCTGAAAACCAAGTGGGACAGACTGACAGACAGACAGAGGGACAGCTAGACGGACAGACAGACAGACAGACTCAGAGGAAACATAAAGTCCCTTCCGGCTTTACCAGTAGGGGACTAATAAATCGCATAATTTGATGAGCAAGAGGCCCAGGGGCCACATCACTCACCTGAGAAACAATGGCTTACTACTAAGATGAAAACAGTTTTTTAAAACAATATGAACTGCATTTTTGAGAATATTATTTTGCTGTTAAAATGTGTTAAGATGATAAATTTGTATGTTATTTAAACCTTTTTGATCAATTAAACAGAAATAAAGTATCAAAATGTTTCAGAATAAAGGATTCTGTGCAATCAAATACATCGTATTATATAAGAATTCAATATTGCACAGGACGACAATAAAGTAATTTTGCTTCAATCAAATCTTATAAAGAGTTCTTCCATTGCAAATAAGTGGTTAGAGTGCTCTAGAGTCGCGAAGTAAGGATTTATCAGTACCTTCTCAGGGGCCGAAATTCGGCCCCATTCCCAATTGAAAATGAGTTAAATTTTTCCCAATTTGGCAGTATTTTTTCCCAATTGGTGAACAATGCTTTTGTATTTAATTATCTTGGAAAAACACAAGGAAAATTGTCAGATTGTCTGTAATATTCATCTATTTAAGTCATTAAGCAAAGCTACAGTCATAACACATGTTTAAAAACACTGTAAAAACATCGCCAACTTTTAATCCGAATTTCCTCCGTTTTTCTGAAAATGGTGATATTGTGTAATTATATAGATTTATTAAGTTATTTCTACCTACTCAATTGATCTATGAGTGTATGGTAAGGTCTGTAGGCATTATTTCAAATAGAAAAATATATTTTCAATGCATTAATACATATTAAAAGAGGACTTTGAGAAAATGTATACTTGCAGGAGATTTATATATTCTCCAGAAACAGATTCTGTAATGACCTAAATTGGAATCTCATATGCACATGTACTACCCTGAGTTGTATAAACACTTTATACTCATTGAAGTCAATTTTACTTTTATTAGTCTGTTATTCATAATTGATCTTGTATGAAGTTGGATCATATATATTGTCTGTTTGGTTGCCCAAATTAGAGTTCATGCTGAAATGTTAAATGAATTACACCTGAATACATGATTTAAGCAACATTTTTAATTTTTCCCAATTTCATCAAAAAGCCGATAATTTTTTCCCAATTCCCCAAAAATGGCATTTCCCAAAATAGGCTGATAAATCCCTGGAGTTGATCCTTACGTCGCGGGTTCAAATCCCACTGTGGGAGACTGTATAAACCGAGGTCCCGTGTTGCAGTAGGTGCTGGCACGAAAAAGATCCCTCACTGCTCAATGGCCATAAGTGCCGAGTATAGGACAAAATTTGAAGCTCTCCACCGGCAATTGGTGGCGTCTCCATATGAGTGAAAAATTCTTGAGAGGAACGTTAAACAACATACAATCAATCAATCAATTCATTGCAAATATGAACAATAGAAGTTTATATAAGTTCTTTTTTTCTGTCATTGAAATGGTTAACTACAATTTTGCAACAAAAATTTCTGAAATCAAACTTGCAGTTCATATCGCTTTATAGAGTCCAATACAAAACTATCTGTAAAATTTAGCAAAGCACCGGTATGTTTTTTTTTTCTTTTTCAAAAAATTTTTTGCACATATTTTATCATTGATTGCACTTTTAAGGATTTTTAAAGATTGAATTTTTTGCACATATTTTATCATTGAGTGCCCTTTTAAGGATTTTTAAAGATTTTCTAAGATATATTTCAATTCAAAAATCTGAACCCCCCTCCCATTGTGGCCCCACCCTACCCCATGTATCATGATTTGAAGGAATTTGAATGTACACTGTACACTATCTTAGGATATTTCCACATAAAATGTAAGTTTTCTGGCCAAATGGTTTTAATTAGATAATCTTGGATAAAACTTTGACCCCCCCCCCCCCCACCCACAAACTGCAGCCCCACCCTAAACCCCAAGGATCATGATTTCTACACTGCATGAGGATGTTTGCACATCAGTTTAAACTTTTCTGGCCGAATGTTTTATGAGAAGATTTTGAAAAAAAAAAAATCCATGAACAGTCTTGAAGAAAAAATTTGACCACTCATTGTGGCCCCATCCTACCCCCAAGGGATCATGATTTGAACAAAATTGAATTTACACTACCTGAAAATGCTTCCACATAATTTAAACTTTACTGGCCAAATGCTTTTTTGAGAAGATTTTTAAAAAAAAATTCCCTATATATTTTCATGCAAAAATTTGACCCGACCCCCCCCCCCCAATTGTGGTTCCATCCTACCCCTAGGAATCATGACTGAACAAACCTGGATTTAAACTACACTGCATGAGGATGTTTCCACATAAGTTTTAACTCTTCTGGACACACGGTTTTTGAAAAGATGATTTTTAATTTAAATTTTTTCATACATATTCCTATGTAAAAATTTGACCCCCTCATTGTGGCCCCTCCCTACCTTCGTGGATCAAATTTTGAACAAACATAAATCTACACTACTCGAGTATGCTTCCACATAAGTTTCAACTTTTCTGCCCAAATGGTTCATGAGAATAAGATTGTTAATAATTTCCCTATAATGTAAAAATAAGACCCTCTCAATATGGCCCCACTCTACCCCTAGGAATCCTGATTTGAACAAATTTGAATCTACACTACCTTAGGGTGCTTCCATATAAATTTCAACTTTCCTGGCTTTATGGTTTTTGAGAAGAAGATTTTTAGATAATGTAGAAACAATAGGCCCATGGGTCACATTTTGCTCTCCTGAGTAACCTTGTTGCTGTTCTTCACCAGATTCCCTCCTTGTAAAACCTATTGTGGCCCCATCCTTCCCCTGGGGGTCATGATTTGAAAAATTTTGAATGTACACTATCTCAGAAAGCTCCCACATAAGTTTTAGCTTTTCTGGTCCAGTGGTTTTGAGGAGAAGATTTTGAAGATTTTTCCTATATATCTCAATGTGAAACTTGGATTCCCAATGTGGCCCCATCCTACCCTTGGGGGTCATGATTTGAACAATTCGGAATTTAAACTATTCCAGGATGCTTCCACATAAGTTTCAGCTTTTCTGGCCCAGTGGTTCTTGATAAGAGGATTTTTAAAGATTTTTTTTCTATACGAGGGGTGATCAAAAAGTTTGCGAACTAACTGAATTACTTCCATAACAGAAATGAAATTAAGTTTCAGTGTTCATTATTTTTAAAGAAGTCCTCTCTGATTTAAATGCACATCAGCCACTGTTCTGTCCATGCACGAATCACGTGATACAGGTGGTCACGTGACATGCTCTGAAGCATTCCGTTCACAGAAGCTAAAAGATTTTTTCAGAGTCTTATATTTCTTACCATGCAAGTTTTTTTTTAAAACAAGAACAGTCCATTTGTCAAAAATGGCCAAATCTCGTCAATAAGATGGGTGGATAAGGATATCCATTCCCAGAATGAGCAAGGTTACCATGACAACCCAAGTCCTCTGTCTTGGGAGTGTCGTTTATCCAATGTGGGTAAAGTATGGGTGCCTTCTTTTTATCATATCTGATATGCTTAGAGTCTAAAGTTAAAGATATTTTAGGGATTTAATAAGTATATCATATCATATCTGATATGTTTACAGTCTAAAGTAAAAGATATATTAGGGATTTAATAAGTATATCATTGTTAAGATATTCAACTATCTTGGCGGTCTTTCATAACAAATTTCTCAACTAAGGACACATCTCTTGCCCAGCTTGCTTTCACTGGGCAACAGAACAAACATCATTTCTATCCATCTCCCTTCCTTCACTAAAACAAATGATCCAATTAATGATTGAACTCCTGGAAGTCTTTTGTCCTTGTAAACTTTGTACAAATTATTATATGCTACTGCAAAGGAATTTCCAAGATACACATTAAACTTTACAGCCGTTCGTTGCTCGAGTTTGACTGAGTCAATCATTTAATGCCACAAGTAACCTTCCTATTTTCTTGAGAAAATTTTTTTAATGATCCCATCCTATTTTTGTCTTTTCTTGAATATCTCCCCTTGTAAGTGGCTAAGCCCTTCATTTTAAAAATTTAAACTCCATTTACATGTACCAAAATATGCTTTGTACCAACTTTGGTTAAAATTGGCCTAGTGGTTCTTGAGAAGAATGTGAAAATGTGAAAAGTTTACAGATGGACGAACAGACAGACAGTTGTGTTGCAAAGAGCTTTGCTCTAGTTGTGATTTCTTTTTCTTAAATCAATATCACAAAAGTGTCATTACTTACTCTTAAGACTTGTATCTTCAGGAACAGGGTTACAAGGGTAACGAGGTTTACAGACTCTTGTATTAGTAATAAGGTCTGTAAAGGCCATGGTAATGATAAAATAGTGTGTATAAATTCAGATTTCTTTGGTATTAACAAGCTTTAACTTTGGATGTAATCAGGCCTGAAGGTTATATAACTTTCTGAGTATATACTCAGTGCTTAAACTCAAACTCCGTACTCCAAACCCATACTCATGCTAAAAATTCCTCTCTAATTTGTATATAAAATTTGAGTATGAGTAAGGTTTTAGAGAAAGGAGTATGAGTTTGAGCACAGAGTATGTACTCAAGAAGTTTTATAACCTCCAGGCCAGCACCGAGAGTATAGCTTAAGCTCCATTGACTTTATTATGGTGAGCTAAAAATGTGAATCTTAAGCTTCAATTTAACAGCCTCTGATCCTCAGCAATGTTCCATAACTCTTGAATAGATTATCCAGAATTATTTTATTCAAATCATAAATTTGGAACTAATTTGGATTTATTGGAATTTAGTCTAATTAATCTGTAGTATTTATTCCATAATTCCAAATTCACACAGTGTTTGGCTCAGGGGTGTACCAGATACCACTGAAAAAAGTCTTAAATCTTGAAATTTTTTCACATATCCCTACTTTTCATTTATTTGTCATTGTATAACCCAGATTGAAAAAATTGCCATAACTTTGTTAAAAGGCTGAATACCATGCTTAAATTTCTTTTTTAAACACAACTTACCTAAACCTGTATGGCCATATGAAATATATTCCAAACATAGATTTGGATTTAAACATGGACACTGTGATGGCTGATTTTGGTAGTTGTTGCTGATAAGGTATTTATTTCCATAAACTAAGCGTGACAATAAATGGTTGGTCAACAGTGCTGCTGTTTCTCCTTTCTTTTTGCCATTAAATGCACTTCTCTTTGGGTTTTTCAAACATTTCTCATGGAATTCTGTAATGCAAAAAATGTAGCATACCATTCAAATACCATATTTTACAATGCAGAAAGTATAGTTTGCAGTAAAAAATTTATGGAATCTCTGCCTCAAAATGACCTCCAAAAATTATCACAATAAATATATTACATGTACAGTATAAAACCTGTTTAATTAACAGGTATAATTATGTAGAACAAGTTGTATTGCTTCATTTGATTTTTTGTATTGGCCTTTTTTTTTTACAGCTTTTGTGATCTAACTGTTTTGGATATTTAGTGCTTGATTCACAGTACAGATAGAACAACTGTTTTTTTTTTTGTTTTTTGCTTTTTGTTTTTTTTTTTTAAATTGCTGAGAGCTAATCTTCTGTTGCCGACAGTTTGACTTTTAAATTATTAGATATTATGTGTATACATCATGTACACAAACATCTTTCTTTGAATGAAATTGGAATTCATATGTTGAGTTTAATTGTTTCATATTATATCTCTTGCTCCTATATTTTCTAGACAATTTTTTCAATATATATCTAACCAAAAGATTCTCCATTTCATAATATATGTATAATATATGACAATAAATAAATGATATCCAAGAAATTTAAAATTGTAAAGCATTAAAACTTGACTTTCAATTTTTAAAACTCTGGACATGCTTAGAAGGTTTTGTCATAGTTAAGAAGCTCATATGAATTACTGTAACAGTCACTTTGTACCCAGAGGCCACTTCCAACCCTGCCTGTCATAATACAAAGATGACTTAGGGGCTATTATATTGTTTCCGGTTCCAAAGAGTGGGAATGACCCCAGGGACTTGCCTTAGAGTCAATGTATAATTTGCATGTGGCATTCCAATGATCTTATTTGACCGACCCAATTAAATCCCACCGACTGAAAAGTTTTTTTTTAAAAGAAGATTATTTAAATATTTTTTTTTTTTCATGTTTATCAACTTTTATAAAATACATTTTCATCACACCCCATTCTTATCAGAAATTCATAATGTATTTTCAAAGCTATTGTCAGAAAAAAATAAATATTTACCTATCTACCTACCCAACTTCAGATTCTAGGCTCGAGTTAGGGGAATTAAAGATATTTTTAATGATCATGATGATGGCCTTAGTAATTATTTTACCCTGTTTTAAACTTTTAAAATAATATTTATTCATATAAATGTACTTACCACCCGTTATAGGTACTGTTAACTTTATAGAATAATAAATCCATTTAAAACACACACTAATAATGATAACACAATCCAATATTGATAACGGTTAAAGTGGTGCTCATTAGAGTGTGATGTACATGTAATTCCAACGCCATGTGCAGGTATAGAAATTTTCAAAAAAAGGGTGTGCATTTGTAAAAATTATATTATTATTACATGAATGTTTTATTTTTACACAAGTTTGTGTTATCTATTCCAAATATGACAAGAAAACAGGTGAATCATAAGTGGGGGTTGATTTTTGACAAGGCCATCCTTAAACATTTTTTTGTTTGGAATTGCCGCCTGGGAGGTTTCAGACCCAGGAGGGAGGGAGGGAAATTATTTTTTTTTTCAAAATTAAAGTGAAATTAAAAATTGATGATAAAAATCTCAGTAAGGAATGAACATATTATTTTCTCCCTTTTTGTAAGGGGTATCTCCCATCAACCAGGAACCCGTTTTGCTTAGATCCTACACTTATTAAGTGATTTGGTGGCACATGTGGTACAGTGTAACAGGCAAAGAATTAATTGAATAAAAAAAATCTTATTTTTGGCCAATAAAATTTTTCCAGGAGGGGTCATTTCAATGAGGCGGGAGGCAATTCCAAACAAACAATAATTTTATTTTGGCCCAAAGTTGATCAGGTTAAGGTTTGGAAAGGGTTCCTCCGAGTCCTACCCAAATACTGCTAAAATTTGCACGAGTTGTAATTTTGGCATCTAATTTTTTTTTTTAAAGTTCATAAACAAACCATGCATTAAAATAATAATAATACTTGTCATTTTGACAATAAATTCAACAAGTTCCAGAATTAAAACCTTTTTTGAAGTTGTATTTCACAAAAAAGTATGCGATTAGGTCATAGGGACATTAAACTAATCAGGGCATTATATAGTCCGAAATATCTGACGTTTTCCTGGCTTTTTTACGATTTTGATATTTTACATGCCATGTAAAAATATCAAAATCATAAAAAAGCCAGGAAAACATCAGATATTTCGGACTAGGCATTATACAGCCACACATAACACTTTTTTTTCTCTTTAAAAACTACTGGCTATCTAAAGCCAAAACTCTAACAAACCGAAAAAAAAAACTGTAGGCCTAACCAGGGACCTATATAATAGGTTCTCGCCTAACATACCACAGGCCGAACGTAAGAAAGGCCGAAACTACTTGCTACCGCCAGGCCACTGTGATTTGTACATCATCATGATCATAAACAATGCAAATAATCAACATAATGTTTTCATGAATTAATTGATAATATTTTCATGCGAAAGCAAAATGTTTGGAAAGTTTGGACAAATACGGTCATAATGATACGTACACACTCACCCATTTCGTACAGAAACATCCTCAGCGCAGCTAAAGCACGAAAATGATCTCTTTCATCGTCTGGAACCCCATTTAAACGGAAAGTATCAAAGAAACCCACATTGCTCTCTGTATATTTGTTTAAACAGTCAAACCCTTTCTTGAAAACACTGGAGAATTTTACATGATAAAGGGCATCGTCATCGGGGTTCGTGAATACTTCATAATCCAGAAATGTTTTGGAAAAACTACTTCCTAACTTACAATTTGAAATTCGAAGTGGAGTCAATTTCAATTCCGCGTAATTGCTCAAAGCTGATTTCAGTGTTTCCTTTAAGTCCACATGTACGCGTCTGGATGAATTTTGGTAGATTTGTACGCATTGAAATAACCTTCTTCTTGTTACCGTGAGCATGATTTCACAAAATTGAAAGTAGGCTTTACCGTCTGAACGGTGACAGGTGGTTTCGCGCCGAATACTTGTTCGCGCTGAGTAGTTTCGCCCCATTATATATGCTGGCATACAAACGGTGACCAGGTGACTGCTCAAGTCGGATCGTGTCAAAGAACTGAGGCTCACTGAGCACCTGTCGACGGGGAATTAAATTTAAAATGACTTACAATGTAATATGAGGCCTACTCTTTTTTTTAAGAAACGACATAACTGATCTGTTCACTGTTTGCAGATTGACCGGTATCGATCTTGGATGCCGCAAAGAAAAAAAAAAATCTTTTTTTTAATTCTCAGTTCTCTATATTGTGTTTTAGAAAATTCATTAGCTTGCACTGTTTTCTCACAACGTATGTATGTGTGTAAAAAAAATTAAGCAATTTAACTGTTTTAGAAGCCCAACCAGTACATTGTTTATTGTCAACGTACGCAAGACAGAGAGAGGTAGATTGTATACCCCCTCCCCCCCCCCCCCATTTGTACCTGTGGAAACAGTAGGCTAGGGTTTAAAAACTTTTTTTCAAAGAACATGAAGAAATCCGTTATATTTGCCATAAACATGATAAACATGATAGCACACATCACTGAACATTATGAGTATTCAGGCGCGGATCCAGGAATTGAAGTTAGAGGGGGCGCCAAAAGTAGGCAGGGGGTCTGGGGTCCGCCTTGAGGCCCCAGTGTGTCCAGGCAAAAGTCCTGGTGGGGGCCCAGGGGACTAAGCCCCCGGAAGCTCCTGGATTCTAGAGATTTTGTAGGGTAAAAATGAGGTCTACCGAGTACACATTTTTACATTTTCTCGACGAAACTACATGTATAGATTTACGCTAACTTTGAATCCTTAAATCCGCCACTGGTATTAAAAAAAAACCAAATTATTATGTGTAAATAAAAAAAAATCTCGCTGTTGTTGTTTTTAATTTCTCTTTTACTATTCACACACAGTTTGTGTAAAAACATGAATAATGTAGCATGTTATATAATACTGTGTTTCTTCTAATTGTTTAAATGAAAAACGGGATATTATCAAAATAAGTGGATGATGGAAAAATCAATGATCACAGTAATAAGTTTTTTTTTTCTTCAAAAAAATATACGGCCTCAGAAGTTGTGTACATCAGAAAGTAACCATGGTAACGAAAGTATTAAGTAATAACGTATCTTGGTAACTATCAATTCTAATTAGACTTTATTGATTGAATACCTGATATGGATAAGTTCAAATACCATTTTGAATATCCAGACTATAACTGAACCAGAATATAACAACTTGAATGATAAAATACATTGTATTACGCTATTGTCCTAATGTACATGTAAAAAACCGACACATGCGTGACTAACTATATGCATGAAAAAGATTTAAATGTGATTTGTTGGGTTAATTAAGGTTGAAGATCTTGCAATTGTTGTGTGTATTTTATTTATGGTATAGAACAATCAAACTGTATTTGTAACCTAATCAACAATTTCGGCCATCTATCAAAATAAACTGGGGGACATTTATAAATAAAGAAGCACAAAACAGATCAAAGAGTTTTTAATGAGTAAAAGGAGTATTAGGTATGTAGATAATAAAGTTTAATTTATAAGATTAACTATCATTCAAAAAGGTACATTTATTGTCAACATACATGTACATGTAACTCCCAATTATAAAACAATAATATTTTTATTCTTAAAAAGAAAGATGATAAAGGCTCAGTTTATACCTACGTCACCGAATGTTACGTAGGTATCCGAAAATATCAGAACTATTGATATATATTGTACATATACTACATTGATACTGATTAAATATCTGTATTTAGAACCATGATTTTCTTACTTAACAGCAAGTAATGTGGTACATCGTGTAGGAAAAACGTAATACAAGAATATGCGTAATATTCTTTTGATAACGTAAGTATTGGTAACGTATTATTTTTCGGTAAGTTAATAAACTCTGCATTTTTCAGATTTTGAGAGTGATCTCCAAATTCGTACATTATATGCAATAAAAAATCTGAACATTTTACAAGAATAGAAGCATACTTAATAGGGCCTAACACATTTATATAATTTTAGAATGATGATAAACGTATGTTTAGGCGAAAATACAACCGATGAAGTATTTAATATGCATATGCGTCGTTTGAAAATATTTTTATGAAATTAAATATCAGATCCATTTTACAAGATTGTTACGTATGTATCGAACAGTTTGGCGACGACAAACTGCAAAAAATTGTCATTTACAGATGGTTTAATCAGTTAATATTAGTTTTATGATTATATATGAATCTAATATGGCGTGCATTAAATTCCCGTGCATGAAAAAAACACCTCTATTAGATTAAAGTTTTTCAAATATGTATTAATTTTGAATCTCGGATCTAGCAGTAATATGTTTTGTTTCCATGTATTGAGCGACGTATTTATCTCGGAAGACTTTTGTCGATTTTGCTATATTTTTGCTGAATGTTTATGGACATTTATATATGTTTAATTGCTCGTACTGAAAAACATTCTTATGTTATTAGATATCGGATAACAAGGGTAAAACATTAATTGCACATTATTTCTGAAAATGGGCGACTAATTGACTAATGCACAACGATATAAAGAGGATTTGAAAACCCAGGCGTTTCAAAATTATTTTGCAAAGTAAAGTAATTAAAGACACAGGGGCTCGGTTGTCGGACATAAAAAAAGTTATTATTTTTTTTCGAGGACAAAATTAATTTAAAAAAAATTTATAATCTTATGTGTGGTTCAGTGAATTATAATAGAAACAACTCATAAAATTACAGTATTTTATCGTTTAAAAAATGTATCACGTATGTACATTAAAAACTATTTTTTAAAAGTACATTGTGATACCATTTTTTAAAAAGATAAAATACTGGAATTTTGTGAGTTGTTTCCATTATAAAACACATATAAGATTATCATTTTTTTTTATTTTAGTCCTCGAAAAAAAAATAATATTTTACTATCCGACAACGAGCCCCTGTGAGTAAAGATGGTGAACTCGTCCTATAATATATTATAGTTTTATTTTTTATGTGTTTATTACGTGTTCAAAATTTGACAGGTAACCGGAGGCACGATATCACGACTTATTGACAGCACTCTTTTGTAAAGACTTATTTGAATTTCTTCAGTTCCTTCTTGATCCTGAACTGCATGGTAAAGGAATAAAATACTACAAGAAAATAAGCCAGTTCTCGTCCAGTTTCTGAAGTCTAGACTAAATCTAGTGTTTCTCATTTGTCTGGTCTCTGCATCTTTCTTTCTTCCCTCTGTGAGTATTATAAGGCCATCTTTAAAAAAAAATGGTTGCCCTCTCCCGACCGACCGACTAAAAATGGCCCGGCTCATTCAAAGCTTTTTTTTTTCATTCCAGGACACGATATTTTTTTTTTCCGTCAAGAAATACGTTGAAATTTTCTGGAAAAAAGATGCCCCCAATTACCTACCGACCCAATGATTTTACCCTGAGTCGGGAGAGGGCAAACAAACATTATTTTAAAGATGGCCTAATATTGAGATCCTATGATATTGAGTTGTTGATCCTACAAATTCTTCAGTTTTACTATTTACAAAACCACTGAGAATCTCTTTAAATAAAAAGTAGGTAAAGAAACAAGAAGTTAATATTGATGCAAAACATTAAATTGGCCGCAAAGTTTTTAAAACCATTGTTAAAGTATAACAATGTAGTAAATGGAAAAAAAAAATGAATTTCCACATTTCTATTTTAGTTAAGAGGGGTAAAAAAAATAATATTGGTTATATAAAATGAAAACTTTAAGACAATAACTTCCTTATGCGCACTTGCTATATATACTTGCAGATTTTGTAACCACCGGTATTCTTAATTGTGACTTGGATTTGAATTTTGCAAAAATATCAATGAATATTTTTATCAAAACAGTCTTTTACCAGGAAACTTTGTCTTTTCCAAATGCATTGAATATTAAACATATCATTAAATGATGCCAAAGGAATGGTGTTTTGTATTAGACATATTATCAGATTGCTGGTGTTTCTTATCTGAATAACTTTTTAAATATAAGCCAATAAAAAAGTAAAAGTGAAGAGAGAAAAAGATATAAAAAGATCTTGCAACTTTACCATATTATCCCTAATAAGCGCCCCCCTCCAGCTCTTTTCAATTGTCGGAAAAAAAGCCCACTTTTGTTTTCTTAATACAGATTTTAGTATTTCATTGAAAGTTGCTCGTTCTTAAAGAAGACTAATAACATCTCTAGTCTCCGAATATCTAAATCATCCGATTGTCTGTATTTTCCATAATGTATCAAAAGTCAGCCATTACATTAATAAAGCAAAAATGAAACTAAAAGTTGGGTAATTTGAGATTTAAGCCATTTACAACGTCAACCATACTTTCTTTATTAATAACGACATTATGATATATAACAGCCAATCAGGAAAGCAATTTACGGCGCACAAAAAATTGTGCTAGTTTTAGACCGATTAAACTTATTTCCACCCAAATTCTATGAAGATATTTAGTACCATTAAATTCCCCAGGCATTTACTACATTTACCTTTTTACTACGCTTTACTTGCCTCAGACCTTCTTTTGTACACGCAGGTAAAGTGACAATATCTGTAGCAAAATGTCCGAGCAATTTTTTGGATTCAGATATTTGTACAAAATGTGTTCGAAATAAGATTCATCAGCCCAAAATTAGCGCAATAATTACTTGTGCGCCATAAGTTGCATTTTTTTGTATGGGAGGAACTGTACCTCTACGGTCGCCCATCCGATTTTTTTCTGACTGAAGAGCTACAGTTCTGCAGCTAGAATCTTAACTACCCAAGAATGCTTCCAGAAAAGTCACAGCTTTTCTGGTTAAATAGTTTCTGAGAAGATTTTTCAAGATTTTTCTCTGAATATTCCTATGAAAAGATTCTACCCTACATTGTGGCGACACCCTACCCCCGGGAATCATGATTTGAACAAACTTGAATCTTCACTACCAAAGGATGCTTCCACATAAGTCCAGGGCACCAAAGGCCAACTTCTGAAAATGAATTTCTGGAGT